GAAGTGGTGCTGTGGCTCAAGTGGTAGAGCGCTAGCTTTGAGCTGAAGAGCTGAGGGACAGCACCCAGGCCCAGAGTTCAGGCCCCACGACCGGAACAAAAAAAAAAAAAAAAAAAAGTCGATTCCTTCCACCTGCATGTCCAGAAGAGACAGGACCCACAGAAGTGGCTCCAGCTTTCCCTATCGTTGCCCAGCTCTGCTGTGGAAAACAGCCCAGGAAGCACATGGCAGAGTGGCAGACTGGAACCAGGCTGCCTGAATCCTAATGTCAGCTCCACCACTTACTTGCTGTATGACCATGAATAAGTTGCCCAACCTCCCTGTTCTGTTTCTACCTCTGTCAAAGGAGGATCATGATCATGGTACCCATCTCTAGAATGAACAAGGATTGAACCAGTCAACATATCTAAGGCACTTTACACCAAGTTCCTGGTGGCTCTCTAGAAAATCCATTGTTCTTAGCTAGGCACCGGTGGCTCACACCTATAATCCTAGATACTCAAGAGGCTGAGATCTGAGGATCATGGTTCAAAGCTAGTAGGGGCAGAAAACTCCATGAGACTCTTTATCTCCAGTTAACCACATAAAAAAGCTGCAAGTGTAGCTGTGGCTCAAGTGGTAGAGCACCAGCCTTGAGTGACAAAGCTCAGGGACAGCACCAAGGTCCTGAGTTCAAGTCCCAAGGCTAGCACCCACCCCCCCAGAAAAAAAAAATCTGTTGATTCTTGTTACCACTGAGGCAGATTGGACACCGGTACCTCCTCTCTCTTGGGTCCCACCTGACCTGACTGCCAGTGGTGATGGACTAGGTCATCACTGCTGGCGTGTCTCTACTTCAGTTCTTTCCTTTATTCAACCTGCACCACTGTCCCTGTCTCCTTGTGTCCCTCTCTGCAGATTGAACAGTTTGTATATGCGTCACCCCATGACAACAAGTCATGGGAGATGTTTGAAGAGATGATCGCGACTGCAGAAGAGTTCTACCAGTCTTTGGGGATCCCTTACCACATTGTGAATATTGTCTCAGGTAGGAGACCCCTTATCTCCTCCACCTACCTTTCCTGTATCTCACCAACACCCCTCCCCAGCTGAGCCGCCCCACACAGAGCTAGCCTGCAACCCACTCCTTCCCCATGTTCATTAAGATCCCAATCCTCCTCCCTTGGGAGTGATGGGGCTAAGAAGCTCTGAGTACCAGTTCACCTCTGGCGAGAGGATGTGAAGGAAAGAATTCTTCATGCTACTGGAGGGTGGCCTTCTGAAATACCAACCCTCCTTCCTGAATTCTAGAGGTTTTTCCTTACAGGCTCTTTGAATCATGCTGCTAGTAAAAAGCTGGACCTGGAAGCCTGGTTTCCAGGCTCAGGCGCCTTCCGTGAGTTAGTCTCCTGTTCTAATTGCACGGATTATCAGGCTCGCCGGCTCCGAATCCGATACGGACAGACCAAGAAGATGATGGACAAGGTAAATGACCCCCAGGGATGTGGGCGGGGGGGCCCTCAGAACAGGGCACCAGCTCCTCAGCCTGAAGCATGTTAGTTCTCAGAACCACAGGAAATCCTGCATGCGGTCTAGACCCAAAAGAGAATCTGAAAATAACTTTACTGAGTCAAGACTCGGTTCTTTATTTATTTTGTGGGTGTGTATGTGTGTTAGTAGTGGCTCAAACTAAAGGCCTTGACACTTTGCCATTGTTTTTTGCTCAAGCCTGGCAATATACCACTTGAGCCAAACCTCCATTTCCAGTTTTTTGCTGGTTAATGGGAGATAAGAGACTCACAGACTTTGCTGCCTGGGCTGGCTTCAAACTGAGATCCTCAGATCTCAGCCTCCTGAGTAGTGAGGATCACCAGCATGAGCCCATCTAGGACTGGGTTCTTATAGATAGAATCCTGATTCTAGCTGTATTCTACAAGGTAATTCAAGCTTTTCTCTTTCTGGCTTTGTTTTCCTTAACTCTAGAGAAAGAATAATCTCCGTTTATCTACACAGAACAAATTGGAGGCAGTATCTTCCTTCTTTTCGCCCAAGAAGGTCGGGTTGTAAGCTCATCTCTCAAACCCAGTCCAGACCCTTATCTGTTATACATTGGGTTTGGCATGAATTAAAAGGAGGGACAACAGTGATGGTTTCGTCCTTCCTGCCAACGCTCAAAGGACTAGACCTACCATTTGTCACGCATGCAGGCATCTTCCTGGAGTTATCCAATAGGCATTAATACCAAACAATTCTAGTTTTCAAAAATTGGAGATGGATAGAAGCCATCGTTTTCATTTGGGGTATTTGTAGCTGGGGGAGTTGTAGCTGAATGCATCCCACTCATTGGGAAGACCAGATGGGGTGGGATTTGACTTCCCTTGGTACCCGCTCTTCCCAGGTGGAGTTTGTCCACATGCTCAACGCTACGATGTGTGCCACCACGCGTACCATCTGCGCCATCCTGGAGAACTACCAGACTGAGAAAGGCATCACTGTGCCCGAGAAGTTGAAGGAGTTCATGCCGCCAGGTATGGCTCCCAGCTCAGTTTCTCTCCCTCCACTTTCCTGCCCCCACACACACTTGCAGAGTATATGAAGCTGTCTCATGGGATGGTCTCCCCAAAATTCTACCTGTCCTTTGGTGCTGGACAGTGCAGGGGAAAAAAGAGAAGGTAGCCCGTGTGGTGTAATACTCCAACTCGGCTACAGTGCAGATGGGGAGGGAAAAGGATTGATAAACATCTCTGATGATTGTTGACTCCCTTGTCCAAAGTGATGGTTGTCATGTTGTACTCTTGCCTGAGATCCTTGCGCTTTGACTCTCTGGGAAACATTAAGTGTTGTGGTTGGCTCTTCTCTCACAGGACTTCAAGAACTGATCCCCTTTGTGAAGCCTGCACCCATTGACCAGGAGCCATCAAAGAAGCAGAAGAAGCAACACGAGGGCAACATAAAGAAAGCAGCAGCAAGAGAAGTCACCCTGGAAAACCGACTGCAGAACATGAAGGTTACTGAGGCCTGAGCATCCCTTCATCCCAGCCTGCCAGGCCTCCTTTCTGTCAGCTGGGTTCTGAGGCCTGCCCTGGAGCAGGGAGGCCACGCCCCACTCCTCACCCTGCCCCACCTGACTGCACAGCGAAGGGGAACTGTCTTGCCATGTGCCAGGCAGGCATGCCTGTCTCCCCACCAATAACTGATGAAGCCATGTAATAAAGCATCTCTGGGGAGGGCAGAAGACGTCCTCATCTTCAACCTGGGCTCCAACCCTGTCTCTGCCTGTTCTCTCTAGGACTGAACTCTTGCCTTCCCTTCCATGTAAGGGTCCATTTAGTGTGTCTGGTAGTTGAAGGCAGCATTGGATCTAGTAAAGGCTCAAGGCGGGAGTCCAAACATGCAGTTTTGCTAGGCTGTTGGTTCACATGTCTGTCATCCTTGCTACTCAGGAGGCTAAGATCTGAGGATCAAGGTTTGAAGTCAGCTCGGGCAGGAAAACTTGGGAGGCTTTTATCGCCATTTAACCAGCAAAAAGCCAGAGGTGGAGCTGTGGCTCAAGCGGTGGAGTGCCAACTTTGAGCAAAAAACACTAAAGGACAGCACCCAGGCCCTGAGTTCAAGCCCCAGTACTGGCAGATAAAAACAACCATAAGTCTTTGACACAAGCGTGCAGGACTAGGGCCAGGATCTTGTATGAGTTCACTTCTCCCTAAAAGCAGTGGGAAGGAATAGCTTAAAAATCTCCCAAAGCCTCTTAGCATTTGTTTTCTGGGAGGAGCTCCATGGAGAGGGCGAGAGGCTCCTAACTCCAAAAGAACCCAGAGGTTCAAGAGCTTAGTAACCATGGCTTCTCTCTCTACAGTTGTCATTAGGTGGAGAGAACACTATAAGCAGCTCCTTGCTGCAACTCCAAAGGCTACAGATAACCAGGGCAGAGGGTACAGGAAGAACATTTTGTCCTTCCCAGATCTCCTTGGGCCCCAATAGGCAGGTACCCTCTCCCTGGGGAAGGTAGTATTCATGCTCACTCTTCTTATGCTGCCTTTCATCTGCAATCTACAACCCTCCACTCTTAATAACCACTTAGGTCAAGCTAGCACCTCTCTGCTAGCAGGTAAAAGTAATTCCTGTAGATGATCCCTTTCATCTTTGCCTGGTCCCAGGAGGTAGGGCAGGGACATGATTATACCTGTTCTATCCAGACAGATGTCCATGCTGAAGTTCCGCCTCCTAGTGGCTCTGCACTTGTGTCTCCCTGGGAGGTTGAGAGTTGGAGTGTGATCTGGGTTCAACACATCTTAGCCCCTGTAGTCCCTAAGCAGCCACTTCCCTGGGCCTGCTGGAGCTTAGTATGAAGGAAAAAAGCCACGTGGCCCAGTTTCCACTGGGGGCTGATCCTGTGGATCTTACTTCTGGAAACCCTGTCAAAACCTGGCACCTGCAAGGGTGAAAGCAGTGGCTTGCTTGCTGCTCTGCCAGCTGGGGGGGCCCCAAGCAGGTTCTCCATCCTGTAGCTCTGGGATAACAAAGCCAGAGCAAGGAGACAAAAGAGCAGGCGACTCCCATTTGTAATTCAGGACCAGAATTCACATTCCTATAGCCTCACTCTTTGGTTTGAAGAAAGGCAGCTTGCACAGTGAACCAGAGGCTGATTTTGCTCCACTCCCATCCCATTTTGGATGCCCATTTGAAATTCAGGTGACTGCATACCCCAGTCTGTCTGAGACCTGAGCTGGGAGGTCTCCATGCTCTTCTGTATTGCTGACCTCCCCGCTGCAGGCTGCTGTACTTGGGAAGGCAGAAGCTGGGTTTCGGTCCCTTCGCTTTTTCTGCTCAAGGCTGGCACTCTACCACCTGAGCTCCAGCTCCACTTCTAGCTTTTTGATTCTTAATTGGAGATCAGAATATCATGGATTTGTCCAGACTGGCTTTAAACTTCAGTCCTCAGATCTCAGCCTCCTGAGTAACTAGGATTACAGGCATGAACCACCAGTGAAGCTGGAACTGAGCCTCTAGGCACTCTGGCCTGTCTCTTAACTCCCCTGTATTGGCTGTCTTACCTCTTCACCATTGCTAGGTGTCTGGAGCCAGCTTCACTTGGAGCCTGGACATCCTGAGCTGCCATTCTGTCTTTGCCAACCTAATAAGATGGCTGGATAGACCAAATGATCCATCAGCAGGGAAGGTCTCCTGCTTGCTGAAGCCAAAGGAGAGAAAAACAATTGTAAAGGCCAGGATGACTAACATAGGTTTTCCCACAAGGTCAAACAAAAACACCCTGGCAGGTGGGTGGCCAGGCACCCATGGGAGCAGGACTGCAGGCAGATGAGAGGATCCCTGCTCTCAAAGAACTCAAGTAAGTCTATTGGGAAAGGCGTGGCTCACACCTTGGAGTGAGCTGAAACAGACTCCTCTCCCTGAAGCTGTGGGGCAGGGGTGGTTTGGGGCTGATGCAAGCTTTGTTTAGGTTGTGCTGATCCACCTGGAACCAGATGGGAAAGGGTCCAGATAACCCCGACTCCACCCACATAGTTAGTTGCCTTTTCAGCCCACAGCTGATGCCCTCATCTCTGGCACCTTCACGGCCCATCACCAACCTCAGCCACCCAGGTTACCTCAGCACACAAGCCCCAGAGGCTCTGGAGAGTGAGTCAGAGCCCTGAGTCCCTCACCAACCCTTGGTTCCCACACCCAGGAATTTAAGGCCCAAGATGGGAGTTTTCAAGCAAGAGACACTGGGAGGTGGTGTCTGGCCTCTACCAAGAGTCAAGTTGAAGCTGGACTAACAGAATTTAAAAGACAAAAAACCAGGGTGAATTGCTGGAAACTGTTATGGACTGCAGGGCAGGGCGGCTGGTCAACCAAAACCTAGAATGAAACCTTGCTCCTGGGTACCTGCTCTCTGGTGACCTGTCCTGAAGCTTCTTTCCTGAAGCTCTTCCACTTACCTTGGTCGTGCGAAGGGAGGAGGAAAGAGCCCCCCATACCTCCCACAGGGGGCCTGGGGCAGCCCTGGCTGCACTCCCGGGATGGGATGAGTCTGACAAGGCAGAGCTGGGATGCGCCCCAGAGAAATGTGCTGCATGTCAGAGCCTGTGCCAGATGAGGGGCCTGCTCTACTCCCCCAGTCATCTCCCAGCATGGGGTTCCCCCAACAGCCCCTCCCAGACAGGCACAAAAGAGGATGCATCCTGGAAGCTCCCAGCTGCTTGGGCTCAGGTGGAGCTGATGGCTCCGCCTCTGACGTTGCCCTTTTAAGATTCCCCCCCCCCACTCGTGGGGGTGCTGCAGGCAGGGTTCTGTTGCAGAAACCTGCAATGTGCAGCTTCCCCACTGTCCTGCCTGGAAAGAGGACCAGTTTTCAACCTCCAGGTCTGCCATGGGGGCCCCAGTGACTTCTGAGGAAGTTGCCCCCCCACTTTTTTTTAATCTGGTGGAGAAGATCTCAGTGTTTTTTAACTGGCTCGTTCACAAGCTGGCATTTTGGAGCCTGTCCCCTGCTTCTCCATAGGACTGGACTCTACCCTCTGCTACATAGACCTGCCATCAGGAACCCTCTGGGAAATTACTTTTATGGAGGTGTAAATTGCTATAAGATGGTGTGACCCTTCAGGGAGTCTTGTTTTTAAACCCTGAAATTGAAGAATTAAGCTTCCATTTAGAATAGCATCTTGTCTCAGTGACAAACTTCTTTTCTCCCCAAACCTAGCCCATGTGTCTTCTTCAGCTAGCTCTATTCTGAATCTGCCCTGTCCTTTTCATGGCTCTTTCCCTTTCCCACCTCTTCCCTTCAGGACTAACCTCCTTCATGCCCATCTTCAGACAGCTTCCTGTGCTCTGGCCTCTCCTGTGAAATTACCATTCCATCTGGCTTCTTTCCCTCGAAGATCTATCAACAGTGGACACTTGCAGTCTCCACATCTCATCAGTATTCCTGGCCCTTCCTCTCAACCCCCCTTGGAGGGAACATGGCACATTCCAGATAGAAGAAACATTGAGAGGCCAGGAAGGTCTGAATCGTCCTGAATGGGCCAAGTGCAGAGTTAGGGTGGATTTGAGTTGAGGAGGGAAAGGAAAGAAGGCAGGGAAGGAGACAGCACCTGGCCCTAAATGGTAAATTCTTGGGATTTCTGGCCTTTCTTTCTTTTTCCATTTGTTGTCCTGCCAGTGATGTGGAAAATGAGTTGGAGGACAAACGCATCTTCCCCACCTCCCCCAGCTTGAACTCAGGGCCTGGGCTTTTCTGGTCAAGGCTAGTGCTCTACCGCTTTGAGCCACAGCTCCATTTCTGATTTTCTGGTGGTTAATTATGAGTCTCACAGACTTTCCTGCCTGGGCTGGCTTTGAACAGCGATTCTCAAATCTCAGCCTCCTGAGTAGCTAGGATTACAAGTGAGGGCCACCAGCACCCATCTCTCATCTTTTTTTTTTTGGGGGGGGGGGTCCGGTCGTGGGGCCTGAACTCTGGGTCTGGGTGCTGTCCCTCAGCTCTTCAGCTGAAGGCTAGCGCTCTACCACTTGAGCCACAGTGCCACTTCCGGCTTTTTTGTTTTTGCTTATGTGGTGCTGAGGAATCGAACCCAGGGCCTCAGGCATGCAAGGCAAGCACTTTAACCACTGAGCCACCTTCCCAGCCCATCTCTCATCTTCTTTCATCTGATCATCTCAGCAGCCCCAACTACATACTGAGCATCAAAGTGTAGATCTCTATCTGATCCTCTACTTTCACTACCTGTTCTTCTTGCCCCTTCTGCCCCAGTATTCGCTCCACACTCATGACGCTCAGCCTAGGCAACATCCTATGTATCCTTAGGCCAGTCCGTAGCACTGTCCCACTGAGTGCCCTGTCACTTCAATATGCACCTATAATGAGCTTGGTCCTCAGGATTTCTGCTGGTATGCGGGCCCCAGTCCCTCCTGCAGGTGGCAGCTTCCTTGTGGTACCAGAGTAGCCTGGTGGCTAGTTCAGCCTTCTCTGTCTGTCCAAACATTGCAAATGGCTTTTCTGAGTTCAGACTTCTCAGCCAGGCACTGGGCTCATGGAAATGTTCAGATTAGCAGGCGCTCTGCTCTCCTGGGCCTCACCATGTACTCCCCCTCTGCCAGCACTGCCCATACACCTATCCCTTCGTGTTTGCTTGTGCAGTTCCTTCTGCCCACCGGCCTTTCTACTTACCTCTCTGAGATTCTTCCTGTGACTTCAAAGTGGCTCAACTACCACTTCCTTAAACGGCTTTCCCTAAAGTCTCAACCCATAGACAAAAATATTT